TGCCTGGAGCGGCAGATTCGTGGAGGGCGGCGTTGCTGCCTTGCCTAGGGCAGCAGCAAAGGTAAATACACCGCTGACATGGCCGATGGATTGTGGACACCTAACCCTACCCGTGTTTCCCCGAAAATAAGACACTGTCTTATATTTTTTTGGGGCTCAAACAAACACACTGGGTCTTATTTTTTTTTAATGTATAACAATCCAAAGTTAATGCAAATCCTAATTAAATAATCCAAAATGGCAAAGTTAAGAATAGGGTGATCGGGGCAATCGGGGGCGCCGTACCTTTCCAAGAGCAATTTGGTAACCAATCGCTGGTCAGAATGAGGGAAGCGCACTTTCACTATTGATTCCTCACAGGCGGAGTGCATTTGGTATCACTCCGCCTGTGACAGGAGGCGGCGCTATAGAGGAAACATCGGCTTATGCGGCTCTGCTCACTCCGCTGCCGCCTCGCTTCCTCTAGCGCCGGCTTCGTTGGCACCGCTGATTCTCTCCCGCGGCTCTTCAAGTTCCCCCCTTATGCCACCACCGGCGCTGGCAATGGTCACAACTAGGTCTTAGGTCTTTTAGCAATTCCCAAAAATTGTATTAGGTCTTAATTTCGGGGTAGGTCTCATTTTCGGGGAAACAGGGTATGTGAAATAGTTGGACGTCCGTCCAAAAACCAAGAGATGGAGTTCAGGTGTTTCCAGTGACGGGTTCCGGTAATACGACAACATACTAAGACATTGTAGACACAAGTCCGAAAAATAAGAAAAAAAGCTTGACTTTCCTCTTCTATCCAACAAGACTTATTACTAGAAGATCCTCCAGAAATGTTTAAATACTCTATAGAACCGAACCTTGGTGGACACTTGACCATCACACCTACCTATACGGCCAAAGGTATGCTGACCTCCCTCCAAATGATGGAGTTTATGGGTTCCCAGTGAAGGTTTTGTTAATACTACATCATCCAAAGACATTGTAGACAATTGAGCTCTTCCAACCTCATGGTCACAGTTTGGTGAAGGCCCTTTTCTGTTCCCCCATGACTGTCCCCTGTGTACCCAGCCAGCTCCATAAAAACAGGGTGTGACCAGTTTGATGTGGAAGAACTCGAGTGTCCAGCACAGCGCCCTGACCTCATCCCTACTGCATACCTCTGGGATGAGTTATGAGCCAGGTCTTCTCCTCCAACATCAGTATCTGACCCCAACCCTACTGCACTCATTTTGGATGAAGGAGCCAGGTCTTCTACTCCTACTTGGCTTTAACCCTGATGAACACCTTTGGGATGAATTGGAAGGCCGATTGTTAGCCAGCTCTTGACCTGACCTCACGAACAGGCACAAATTCCCAGAGATACCCTCCAAAATCTTATAAAAGCCTTCCCAGAAGAGTGGAGGCTGGTATGGCCTCAAGGGGGCCAACTCCATATTAATACTCATGGTTTTGGAATGCGATATCCAACAAGGTGTAATGGTCAGGTGACCACAGACTTTTGGCCGTTTTGTATATGAATGGGTCCCAGTTAGATCGATTTCCCTTCACGACTGGTTGTGGAGACACGTTACATGGACAGGAAGTACGGTTTGTTTCTGGGAAAAGGTGGCAACCTTGCTGGATCAGTAGAATGTCAGTCAGTTGGCAAGCCTTAGAGGAAAATGAGAAGACATTTACACAAGGAGGTCATGGACAACAATAAGCTGAGCTCTGCTCTCCGCATGGGCTATGGACAACAATGGGTCTTCTCATTCAATATGGTTTAATGAGTTTGGTGTAGAGGAACTCGAGTGTCCTGCACAGAGCCCTGACCTCATCCCTACTGAACACCTTTAGCATGACTGGTGGCCAGGTCTCCTTATCCAATATCAGTACCTGATGTCATAAATGAGCACAAATTCCGACAGACAGGGGTGTAACTAGAAATCACAGGGCCCCGTAGTAAAATTTTGTATGGGGCCCTGTGATTTCTAGTTATACCCCTTGCAGAGCCCACTTGAGATCCCACACAGCCCACCTGAGGGTGACCCTGCAGAGCCCACCATAGACTTTCTATGGTGGGCTCTGCAGGGTCACCCTCAGATGGGCTGGTCGCACTCCTTACCTGTCCGCCTCCTCTTCCTCCACCGTCGCTGATGGGCCCCGCCTCCTCCTCCACTGCTGGGTCCAGCCTGCTCCACCGCCGCTGCCGGCTCTCATTGACTCCGTGGAGAGGAACGCACTGCTGCACAGATTACTGTCAGTGATCTGAACAGCAGCGCATTCTTCA